TATACTGAGTTCAGTATTGTATAACTGTATTAATTCAACTGTGAACCTAAAAATTTACAGCCACTTTTGAAAGAGATGTATCTTTGCTCTGGAAATTGTTATTGAATATGTTAAAGTTGTAATGAAATTCTTCTTCTAATTATGTGGTTATTAAATAAATTTTAAAAATAAAATTAAAAAAATAAAATTTTAAAACACAATCATTACCTCACAACTTATGAAATTCAAGAGACCAGAGTTGAAATGTGACTCACCAGCTGTCAGATCCTATTCAGATCCTGCTGCCAGGACCCTTCCCTTAGTTGCTATCCGCTGTGCTGTTGGGCCCCAGAGCCCTCTGCATGTCATCCTCTTTTGTCTTTGTGTACAGATGTTTTCATTGTCAGCATGCTCCCTACTTCTTAAGTGGCAGAAGATTCATACCAATTCAGCCATTGTAATCCAGGCTGCTTTGATGACCTGGGACATGCATTGCAAAGTTGTCCAGGTTGAGCGAGATACCGCAGTGGAGCATGAAGTTAGCCTGGTCTAAGTAATAGAATCAGGCACTTTTTGCATTGAAGGGACCAAAGTAGAGACTCTCACTCACACTCAGCCAAACAAGAGGCCAGAGTTTGACATCTGTTCCTCTCATTCTGTAGACCACACCATCCACTAACCAGCAGGGCCTCTATGAATAGTCCATTAAGACCGGCCATATATGGTATGTTTTCATGCTGAAAGTCTGCAGAGTGCAGCTGTAGATGATGGTTGTTCTGCTTACAGGGTATAGAATTGCTTCTGGAAATTCAGAAACAAGTCAACAGAGCGATGGAAATGGTATGTAAAGGGAGTCTTTGGTATGTAATCACTGACACCTCACATTCAGTTCATAGTTCATTTTGGAGTTAAGTCAGTATTGGTATTTTTGCTATGGAACATGTATTTGTTTACTCTGGGTTTCCCATCCAAACCAAGAGCATACATCCCTCATTGGCAATAGACACATCGTCTAAGGGTATTGAACAATCTCATTTCAATTTCTGAAGCAACTGCACTTTGCTAAAACCGTCCATTAAGATTTATAAAGTGAGAATAAGAAACTGAAGAATGTGGGTCCTTGGGTGGGACTCCTATATTAAAATCCACCCATCCAGGGCTCAGGGACCATTGCAGAGGAGGGGGCAGAAAGATTGTAAGAGCCAGGGAGGAGGTGCGTGCATGACCACAGTCCTACAGGTGCCTGGGACCCTTCTCATACAAACTTACGGCAATGGTGTCAGCACAAGACCCATGCAAACTTAAGCAGACAAAAACCCAGCACAGAACTGTGGAAATGGGCAGTAGGCCCCAATCTTAGTTGAAGGATTATTGTCAGCTGATTACTGCTGGGTGAAGAAGAGCTGATCTTTTTAAAGAGAGGGACTTTAGATAGGCTGACTAGATCCCAGTGGATGAACTTGCACTGAGGGATATCTGGGGACACCAACTTTACATAAAAGGCCTTAACACAAATGACAGACTATATGAACTCCAGTCAGGGGTTATGGGAGTGTGCCAAAGGGGAAGGAGGTATAAAGATGATTTTCTGTATGAAATATACAAAAATTTAATTTAAAAAATCTTTTTAAAGATTTATAAAATAGTGCCAGGTGTGGTGGCATGTACCTTTAATCCTAGGCACTTGGGAGCACAGACAGGTGAATCTCTGTGAAATGGAAGTCAGCCTGGTCTATGTAATTTCCAAGCAAGCTGGGGCTACAAGGACACCTGTCCTTGTCTCAAAAAAGGAAAAGATTTTTTAAAAATATTTTTATTATTTTTACTTTATGTGTATGCGTGTATTGCCTGCATGTGTGTAAGTGCACTCATGCCATGCAATGGCCAGGAGGTCAGAAGAGGGCGTCAGATCCCCTAGAACTGGAATTATAGGTAGTTGTTAGCCACCATGTGGGTGCTGGGAATTGAACCTGGGTTCTCTGCAAGAGCAGTCAGTGCTTTTAACCCCTGAGCCATCTCTCCAGTCCCCCCAAAGAAGAAAAAGATTTATAAAGTATTTCATGACCTTTGGCTTTTTCCAAAAATCAAATCCCCTTTGCTTTTAAAACCTGAGAATACTGGGAAAGCAAATCCTACAGTAGTCCTGAAGGTTAAGAAGAGGACATGGTATCCTTCTGCCTAAAAGTAGGGTGTGCACACTCCTGGAGTGCCTGACATGATGTATACATGTTTTATTTCTTTGAATGGAAACACATGAACGTATATATGCATATTCTGCACAATTGGCGAGGCAGAGGGAGAGATATACATTTGAACTTGAGAAATAGATTGGGACTTTAAAAAGAAGGGCATGGCTGGAATGATCCCCAAGTGTGCATGTGTGGGCAGGTGACTGTGTATGCATGTGAGTGGGCACGAGAGTCACAGTGCAGAAGACCAGCCTGTATAAGAGTAGCCAGCCACAGGACCTGAAGCTCTGTGTGCTGTCATAGATCTGGCTAAAAATCCCAAATGATTCCTTTTAATCTCCTATTCCCACAGCCCCCACCTCCAAAATCAGAATCAAAAAAAGGGCATGATGGAAGCAAGAGAGGTCAGGTGAGTATGTGCTCACCACACCTCTGCTGGGCACTCCATGTTCCCTGCTCCCGTCTCTCTTCCACAGTCATTCTGCTTCCAAGATTAGCATGACGTCAAAGTAGTATGAAGGCCTTGCTCCAAGGGTGCTAACCTAGAGCTGGGGCCTCAGTCCTCCTGTCTTCTGGCTGCAGTCTGCCTGGACAGCCATCATCAGGCAGCTGAAATTTCAGAGCAAAACATCACCTTTATGACCAGCAGGACTGAATTTCACCCTGTAAATGAAGGGTTTGGAAATGAGATTACTTAAGTAGCTGAGAGGCACAAGTTAGTCTAGGTTTTCCTCTTCCACTCCCAAAGGGAGAAAGAAAAAGATGGCCATTCTTTCCATCTGGTCAGTAAAAGGCCCTGTGGGAACTCAAGAGTTTTCCAGAGTCAGGCAAATAGTCCTTTTGGGGAAAAGTGATCACATTGGCCTGGAGAGCCTCGTGAGACCAGCTGTACTTGACCAGGCAAACACTCTGGTGACTGTGGGTCACCAAACATACCTCTCATGTGTCTAACCTTCCAGAAATACAAATAGAACAGCTATTAAGAACCCTGGAAATAAGTAGGTAGCTGGAGGGTGCTGTCTCATATGTAGCCTGTTGGTCAGAAATCCCAATCACCCTGATGACAGAGACTTCATTAAATCAGAGAACAGGAGCTGGTACCAAAGTAGAAGACTAGATTAACACAAAACATTTTCTCCTCCAAACTTGGAGAGAAATAAAAACAGCAGTAATTCAAAATACTTGACAGTTGTGTTTATTAGAATGAGCACAGTACTCTCCTATGAGGCCTTGGAAAAGATAGTGGAGAGCAAGTGACCAATTAGTGCTGTTCCTATATCCCTATGGGAGACTTAGACTTTATCTGCCCTTCCTGTGAATGGGTCTTCCTCCCCCCACCTCCTCTTCCTTCTCTTCCTCCTCCTCCTCCTCTTTCCCTTCCTCCTCCTCCTCTTTCCCTTCCTCCTCCTCTTCCTCCTTCTCCTCTTCCTCCTCTTCCTCTCCCCTCTTCTCCTCCTCCTCTCCAGTCTTCTTCCCTCCCTCCTCCTCTTCCTCATCCTTTCTCCCCTGCCTCCTTCTTGTCCTCTTTCTCCGTCTCCTCCTCCTCCTTCTTGTTAGAAATAGATTAGAGCATAGATTCTAACCAGAGTTAAGAACATGGACTCTGGATCTACACTACCAAATTAAAATCTGCCACAGGTTACTTGTCTTGGCAAAATGGAGATACTGATAGTGACTTCTTGCCTCATGGGGTTAATAGATGGAACAAATGGATTACTTTATGAATTTCAACTGGTAGACCTGAATTCCTTCCAACTCTTCCTTTGCTTGCTGAATGGAAGCTTCCTGTCACTGACATTCAAACTGTTGGATGGTTCTAATCAGTGCTGTTGTCAGTGAACTAGCACTTTATACCTGAGTTCATGTCTGCTTTTTAGTTTGGTAAACACTCACCTTACAGCCTCAGATTTACAGATACTGCCTCAACTTGTAACTGTATAGTACAGTTAGTTAGTGGTTAGGGTACACCAAGGGTTCGAGTCTCCAAATCACTCGCAAAACTCCATCCCCAGTGGTGCATCCTCTCAGCTGAAATCTCCAATTCTCTTAAAAAAATAAAACCTTTCCTGCAGGAGGATTACATTTTTAATTATTAAAAAATCAACATTTATTTATTTATTTACTTATTATTTATATGTGTGTGTTCTTATAGAGGTCAGAAGACAACTTGCAGGAGTTGGGTCTCTCTTCCCAGCATGTGGGTCCTATGGATCCAACTCAGATGTTAGTGTTGGCGAGTGCCTTTACTTGCTATCTCTCTGAGCCATCTCTCTGGCCTCAATTCCAAAATTTTTTATAATTCTGTTCATCTTGAGGAAAATGGAACATAAGAAAGCATGTTGGGCCAGATATGGTGGTAGTGCACATCTTTAATCCCAGCACTTGGGAGGTAGAGGCAGGTGGATCTCTGTGAGACAGAGGCCAGCCTGGTCTACATAGCGAGTTCCAGGCAGTGAGTTCCATAAAAACAAAACAAAACAACAACAAAAGCATGTTTGGAGAAGGAGGATTGAAATGGCCCAAGTTAGAGACCCATTGATGTTTACAGGGTCAGCCTGGTGGCTGTTGCACAGGTTAGCCCAATGAACAGTGGCAGAGCCAGTAAAGCAGCGCTGATAGGCACAATGAAGAGAGAGAAGCCAGGTGGCATGGGGGGATTATATGGCCAGTCCTGGGAGGGGACTTAGAAGTAGAACCCACCAAAAATGGAAGGACTGGATCTTTCAGACCCGGGACCAGTTATGACCCTGCCTATCATAGGCAGCTCCACGGACCTTAATGCTCTGTAACTCAAATCCTCTTCTTTTGATCCTGCAGCAGCCTATCACTGGCAAGATGTCTCATCTGGGCTGTCTAACCATTAACTATGACACCATAGAACAGCCACTGACTCTCATACAGGGAATCTGTTCAAACCTGGGGTTAGAACTGGGAATGAGTCTGCATCTAGCTATCAACTGTGCTGGACACGAGGTGATGGACTACGTAAGTTTCTATTTCAGAGCATTCACTTTGTGCTGAAGTCCATGATGCTTAAATTAGAACTCAAAAGCTCATCCGAATATTTTTCAAATGTGCTATTTTTATAAGCATAGATATAAATGGAGTTGAAAAGTCCAAATAAGGCAATGACTAGAGAATAATATAACTGTAGACATTTAAATTTTAATAACAAAATATGTCACAATTATATAGAGAAATTCTAATAAAAATAAATGTATAAAACAAAGGTTTAAAAGTGAAAAGGTATAAAGTCTCCTTATTTATGAACATTTAATTGCATTTATATTGTAATCATGAAAGCTGTTGGGAAATAATTTAACAGTCTGGTTTTTTTTAGTATAATCATTTGGTTGGTAAGTGCTGAAAGGGGGTCCATTTTAACTCCCTCTTTTTTCAGCATTGGGACTCGACTGCAGGCATCATGTATGCTAGGTGGGCACTCCACCAAGCCACAGCTCCAAGTTATTGGATTTTAGGAGGAATATGTTTTTATTTCAACTAAATACATTATTATTCCTAGCCTAGGCACTTACCTGGGAATCAGGCCACTTGTAGAGAGAAATATTTTAAGAGAAGACTGAAGGACACATTCATTGAAAACTATCCCTCCATTCCCTCAGGCCATGGCAGCAATTTACCTTTATACTTGGGAATCTCTGTGGTAGGAAATCTATTAGGAATTTTCTGTTTTACATACATGTGCATGTTAGGGTTCAGATAGCCCCGCCCCCTCACCAACAGAGCCTCACGGACCTCACAAGCCCCTAAGAAAAGGGAACCAAGTTAATAAGCACCCTGGTCTTTGAAGTCAAGAGAAGCAGACTCTTCTAAAAGGCAGCTTGCTTTCCCTTTGCTCTCTGAAGACAAGATAAAGATTCCACCTTTTAACCAGAGACTCAGAAGCCGCTTCAGCACAGCAGTTTTTCCTTTATCTTAAGAGGACAAAAACAAACACTTCCTGACCCAGATCCTGGCTGACAGACAGAAGGGAGCAGGTTTTAACAGTCCCCCTGCCCAAGCCTAACTTTAAAAAAATATATCTTCCCACCTTCTGCACCCCCCAGAAGCTCCCCTTATAAAAGACCCCAGCTCATGACCCAGGTGGACATTTTCCCTGCTTGGAAGGGAATCTGTCCCATGTGTTCCTTTGCTAATAAACTCTATTGCCCTGGAGTTTTATCTGTGTCCTGGTGCTTTCTCCTGATCAACCGGATTCATCCATTGGCTACTTTAACCTATCCATACACATTTCCCATTTTCAGATGCACCAGTGCTGATTCTGAATTTTATAAAACTCCCATCATATTGATGTAGATTTGTGCTGACTTGGTAATTAATGTCAAAATCAGGAGACACAACAAAATAGGATTTTGCTTAACTGCTTTAACTGTGATTCTAACTACAAAAAGAATTTTGAACAGTGTAAGAGCCCTAAGTTTTGTCTGATTTCTAGAAGTTCTTTCACTTTCTAAAGCACATAAAGGAATGTTTAAAGTAATTTCCTATTCTTCACATAATGATTGGTTCCCAGGCATACCATTAAGAAAAAATAATTGCATGTTTTCATCAGCAACGTATACCAAGAACCATGAATATACTGACTGCCAGTGCTAACTAAAATGGATATTTATTGCTTATATTCAGTAAAATGTATTAGCTTCATATCAGATAATTCTTACAATAATCTTAGTTCAAAGTCATTAGCACTTCTTCACTGACAAGATGGGATTTTTAAGCTTTGCATTACAGAAGCTAAGATTTCTTGCTGTTTTTTTAATGTTGAGAAAAGTAGAAAATCCTTTTAGCTGTAGACTTCTCAGGTACCCACTTAGTTCTAGTAGAATCTGCTCTATTATATGACCATCAGGAGGGCATTAGCAAAGCAAACCACCCACCCTGTTCCCTCCCTCAGGCCTGGCCCATCTCCCTCCCCAGTATCACCCCATCACAGACATGGAAGTAAGATGCTGTGGCTTGCAGGGCTAAACTGGATCCTTCAGCCCTGTTCACTTCCATGGGTCTTTGCAGATCTCAAATGAATGGGGTTGCACCAGAACCCTCCTTCCAGCACAGTGAAACCACCACACCACAGAGTTGTAGGCTACCTGAGGGAGAGATGCCTTCCAGGAACTTCACAGTTTATGTTGGGTGTTTGTACTCAAAAGCCTTGCCTTGATTTCAGACTTTAGCTTATCTGCAGTAAAGGACACAAGTTATTTGTTCCTGTGAGTCGAAAGACAGTGGGCGAGTTGGCATTGCTGTTCTGTGTGGTGGTTTATGGACTTATGTTATTGCCCATCTACCCAGGCAGCCAGGGACCTGCACTACCATGTCATGAATCTAAATAGAAATACCATTCTCTTCCCTCCCTGTACCTGATGGTTTTGTGTGGCAGAAGGCTTCATCTGAAGTCTGTGGGAAGAGCTCTCTGGGGTACCAAGAGGAGTGACTTGATTTCCCCAGGTTAAAAATTTTAAGGTATTTAAAGTACAATGCATAGATTTCTTAGGGGCCTGTGGCTTGAAAGAAATCTACTTACAGTTATTGGTTTGAAATACGCAAAAATAATTTGAATGACCTCTTTACCTTTCATGCTTTCCTTACATGTATCAGAGTAAAGGGAAGTATGAAGTGATGGTGGGCACCTACAAAAACACAGCTGAGATGGTGGACCTGTATGTGGATCTGGTCAACAAGTACCCATCCATTATTGCCCTAATTGATCCTTTCAGGAAGGAGGTAAGCAGGACCCACCTTTTCTATTTTACAGCATGTATTTAAACACACGGAATAAAGTAAGTGGTCTCACCTTTCACATTTTATAAAAAAGCAGAATAAAAATTTCATTCTTTGTACCTCTGTCATTGGGAATGTGTTGTAATTTGGGCTGGGGCTGAGTCACTTTATTTTGGAATTTATGAGAAAGGCACTTACTAAGCAAATGAACAGCAGAAACACAATTAGCTAGGAGTGTGGCTGTCTACAAAATAAAAGGAGCCATTCGCAAGCCCTTCAGGAGTACCTGTGTATTTACCAGCAGCCCGACCAATGGAAGCCATCCCCACTAAGCCAGCCACTGCTTCAGTAGGTTAATCATACATCATTTTCATGTGCTTATGGAAACAGGACTTTTTTTAACTTTTACAAAAACTTTATTGAGAATTTCATACATGCATATAAGGTGTTTTGGTCAAATCCATGGAAACAGGACTTTTATGAAGCCAAATATTTTTTAGCTTAAATCCAGTTACTACATATGTATAAAAACAACAAAGCTCCATTTTAAGGAAAGGTTTTGCAGTCTATTCAAACTAATGCATCTACAAGATCTGTCTACAGGCCACAGAAGACCATCTCCAAAATTGGAATTCTTGATTTTATGAATTTTTTTAAACTATTAAAAAAAATTTATTATTTTTATGTGTATGCATGCATTGCCTTCATGTAGGTAAGTGTACCTGTGGAGGTCAGAAGA